CCCTGACCTCATGACAAAATGTCGGACGGCCTGACCGCTCGACCACTATACCACGCCCTGAGCACCAAACCGCCAATATATATTATAAAGGACGTAATCCGGCTAACTTATGTAAACAGTCCACTACCTCTTTCGAACAAGTCCTCTCAGAAACAGTACGCTTGCTTTCGATAAAATGCAACAAAACACAGGTCGCCAGTCATGCAGAAAGTTGCATTCTTCCAACAACCGCTGCAGAACCGACCACTAACGAGACATCTACGCTTGCGCGTGTACAAAACTACGCCAAGTACAGGACTCGGAAACGGTTAAACAAATATGCTACACACACCTTAAATGAAGTAAAAATATTACTGAAAAAATCCTCATGCGGAATCAGAAGAGACAGAGACCAAAATCCTTTGAGCGATCTCCAGAACCATCAGAAGTAGATTCTAAAGACAAGCAGACTCAGGCTATTGTAATAACATCATGTGTCCCAGTATGTTTCGGGAAACCACAGTCTAGCGAGGTCAAATCCAGGCAAATAAAACAGCAGAAGATGACTGACAAACAGCCTGTTAAAGGCTAACGTAAGCTCTCCGTCTTATCGCCCGACACAAATATGAGTATGCCAACAAATTCAGGATGAGACGGTGGCCGTAGTGTACAGAAGGGAACATAGTACATAAGACGAAAATCCTACCAGCACTAGGTCGATAGAACCATTAACAGATTTAAACATTGCGTTCCCTGCAGGCCATTTTTCCAGATTATATGAAATAAGCAGATTGGAAACAAACGTTCCATTAGTTCAAAAATGTGGTGTAGCCATGGCAGGAGTTCAGTTTAATAGAAAGGTAAATAAAATTTTAAAAGTGGTACCAGAATCAACGTCAGCGATCCGTATGGAGAAAGTTAAACACGACCTAGGCCATCTTTAAGCGTATTTTGGAGGATTGTTGGGAGACTTCGAATCGATTAGCATCTCCAAAGCCTATAGAATAAACAAAACTCGACCAGTTTGGCAACTTACATAAAGCGTGAATTTTTCTGTTATCAGAGGAAAACACCGACGTAGCCCTATGAAGATATGAAATAATTTAGTAAAAAAATAAGGCCAAATAATT